TCTATGATTCATTAACAATGAACTAGATTCATGCTGCACATCCAGAATGGGTTACTGTCCTTTAATGATAGGAGTTTTACATCATTTAGCTCTGTGCTTTGTTCGTTTTTTGAATTTTAATTTATTTGTTACTCTAACCCCGGCGAGAAGAGTCTTTGCATGTTTTGTCCAATCTGTCTTCATCTAGCTGTTGGCATTCCTCCTATAAGCTTTGGTCTGTCAACCATTTCTGCCATGTAATAGATAAAAAAATTACTTCAGGCTCCCCTGTGTCCATAGAAGACCATCAGTCAGTACAACAAAAAGCTGTTTCCAACTCCACGCTAAAATGTACCTAAACACAATCAGCAGCTGCTTCAAAATTATATGGCATCAAAAAGATTTCATTTAATTTGATCTAAGATTGTAATTGTAACATAATATTTATGACAACCCAACCTACCTCTGTCTCCTCTCTGAAGATCATTCTTGTGAAATTGTGTAACATTTGAACAACACAAAACAAATAAAGAACCCAACAAATCCTTTCTGAAACGTTTGCTCCCTGAAAGCTTCTTTGTTTTAGATTTTACCTCCATTACTCCTCTTGTCAACCATATTTTATTCCATTTCCACAGCACATGCAGCATTGCAGCATTGCTGCATGTGCTGTGCATTATTTTTTCACCAAGATCTTGCATTGATGACTGGGCACTATAGGCATGATGGGTGCATCACTTCATCTACCTCTCTTCTTACCCTGATGCACCCATCACTCCCAAATCTGGAGGTAAATCTGGACTCATCAGACCACATGACCTTCTTCCATTGCTCCAGAGTCCAATCTTTATGCTCCCTAGCAAATTTAAACCTTTTTTCCAGTTAGCCTCACTGATTAGTGGTTTTCTTAAGGCTGCACAGCTGTTCAGTCCCAATCCCTTGAGTTCCCTTCACATTGTGCATGTGGAAATGCTCTTACTTTCACTATTAAACATAGCCCTGAGTGCTGCTCTTGTTTTTCTTCAATTTGATTTCACCAAACGTTTAAGTGATCGCTGATCATGATCTTTCAGGATCTTTTTCTGACCACATTTCTTCCTCAAAGACGATGGGTCCCCACTATCCTTCCAGTTTTTAATAATGCGTTGGACAGTTCTTAACCCAATTTTAGTAGTTTCTACAATCTCCTTAGATGTTTTCTCTGCTTGATGCATGCCAATGATTTGACTCTTCTCAAACAGACTGACATCTTTTCCACGACCACGCAATGTGTCTTTTGACATGGTTGTTTAAGAAATGAGAAGCAACTCATTGCACCAGTTGGGGTTAAATAACTTGTTGCCATCTGAAAGATAATCACCCATGCAGTAATTATCCAATAGAAGGCTCGTACCTATTTGCTTAGTTAAATCCAGGTGGTGACATTTTTTTTGGCCAGGCAGTGTATGTATGTAAGAGCACTCCAGTTTACCAACCGGTTCCTCTTAGATGTCCCCAGATCCAAAATTGAAATTCATAGGTCATAAGGCTTTTGCGGTTGCTGCTCCAAAACGGTGGAACATTTTACCTGATCATTTAAAGACCTCTAAGACTGTTGAAACTTTTAGATTTTCGCTCAAGACTCAGCGTTTTTCCTTAACATTTGATCCATGCAGCATCTGAGAAAAAGTTAGAGCTGATTTTTATTGTTGTGTGTTGTATTTTTAACTTTCTTATGTTTTCTGTGGCAGCACGGTGGCGCAACTGGTAGAGCTGCTGCCTCTCAGCGAACAGGTCCCTGGTTCTAACCCCGGTCCAGGTGCCTTTCTGGGTGGAGTTTGCATGTTCTCTCCGTGCATGCGTGGGTTTTCTCCAGGTACTCCGGTTTCCTCCCACAGACCAAAAACATACATGTTAGGCTGATTGGTAACTCTAAATTGTCCCTAGGTGTAAATGAGAGAGTGAATGGTTGTTTGTCTCGTTTGTCTCTATGTGGCCCTGTGATGGACTTGCGACCCGTCCAGGGTGTACCCCGCCCCTCGCACAGTGATTGCTGGGCACCAGCGACCCCCGTGACCCAAAATGGAATAAACGGGTAAAGAAAATGGATGGATGGATGGATGTTTTCTGTGGTGCAAGATGTATTTTTATTCACTCCATTTAATCTGAGTTAACTTTAAAGCATTTTGGTCAGCTTTTGTTGTTTTCATGTGCTACAGAGATAAATTGACATCGACAGTGACATTGAAAAAAAACCTAAGAAATCAAAATTCTGATTTGTGTTAACCAGAAAACAATGACTTTATATCACTAGATGGCAGCAAAACCTGCCCCAGTTCATCTCTGCTTCACTCAGGGTCTCCAGTCCACCAATTTTACAAAAAATCCTACATTGTGGGGACCAAAGCCAGGTCCCCATAAGTCTCGTTGGGAATTAGGGGTTAGGCTTACTAGTAGTTGCCTATTACTAGTGGATGAGGATCTTTTTCTGGCCATATTTCTTCCTTAAACATGATGGGTCCCCACTATCCTGCCACGCACATACGCAGTAATGCAGTGCGTGCGCACGCGTGTGTGCCTATGTGTGTTTATTTTTCTGTGCTGCAGATTCCCAGCAGGGTTTTAAACTCTGAATATGTTTTCATGTTATATTTATTCTTCATCAAAGTCTTTTTATTTTATTTTATTTTATTTATTTTTTATTAAGAACACACACACAAAACAAAACACACACAAAAAACAGAACATGCAACAAAATCCCCTCCCACCCTACCCCCTCCCATACCAGATCAGCTACACAGACATGAATACATCAGACAGGCACTGACACACTTTCAATAGGAGACACAAATGGCCGCCAAGTGTCCCAAAATCTCCCAACAGGTCCTCTCAGAGTATATCTAATTTTTTCCAAATGAATATGACACATAACTTCTCTTATCCAGTGTTCGTATGCCGGGGAATGTGGATCCTTCTTCTGCATAAAATAAGTCTCCTGGCTAGAAAAGAGCATAAAGCAATCATATTCCTCTCGCACTTGCGGAAGGGTGCATTCACAGGTGCCACCGCAAATATTGAAAATAATGTTGCACAGTTTTACCACATATTCCAGAGGAAGTATCAAAAATAGATTGCCAATAGGTCTGAAGCTTTAAACAAGCCCAGAAAGTGTGTAAGAGAGTAACTGGAGTTTGTTTATAACAATTACATGCAGGATCCAGGTCAGTTTTAATCTTTGACAGTTTGTCTATGGACCAATGCAAACGGTGCGCCACCTTGAATATAACCACAGCATGTTTCAGACAGATTCAGGATGAATAAATGTTCTGAATAATCTTTTGACAGACTGAGTCTGATATGGATTCCTCCAAGTCCATTTCAAATTTCAGCTTAAGGGAGTCCAAGTTGGTCTCATGGTATGAACTGAACAGTGTATAGATCTTACTGAGTGTCAGACATTAACTGATTATATATATATATATATATATATATATATATATATATATATATATATATATATATATATATATATTGTACATATATGTATATATATGTATGTATTCAAATCTGTCTGGATTTGAGGAGCACTATGGAGCATATCAGCTCATCAAAGATGCATAGATGATGTATGTAATAGAGTAAGTAAAAAAGTAAAAGACAATATTACTCATTTACAAATGTTTATTTCAAGATATTTAATATACCAGTAAGTCTAACTCTCTGAAAAATGTAGAGAAAATATATTTTTGTGTGTTGTCTAATTGAGTTTAAATATATTTTGTTGGCTAAAATGCCTATGTGTTAAACTAAACCAGACCCAGCCAAAGTAGCTGTGTTAATCCATTTAATGACCAAAGATAGCAGACTATGTTTAAAAAGAAGGTTAGTCTGTGGAGTCCACCCTGCAGAAGTTTGTTTTAGGCCTACTAATGTGGACCCCAACCCATAATCCTATTGTAAATGCACTTTAAGTAGAGAGTATAAAAACCCTGGACTGAACAGAGCCAGACATCGAGCTTTGAGGAGTCTCTCCAGAGTTGCTCTCTATAGAAACTCCTCTACATCCACACTGACCCTGAAGATGGCTCCTTCTACCAGCCTTGTGCTGCTGCTCCTGCTCGGCCTCTCTCAGGCTGTTCCTCTCCAGAAGGAAGAACACAAGAAAGAAGGACGCAGACATGGACGCCATGTTGGACACCATCATGAGCATAAACACTTGGCTGATGAGAGACACCTTCATGAGCATAAAGGATTGGATGATGAGAGACACCTTCATGAGCATAAAGGATTAGATGATGAGAGACACCTTCATGAGCATAAAGGATTAGATGATGAGAGACACCTTCATGAGCATAAAGATTTGGCGGACAATAAACATCTTCATGAGCATAAAGGATTAGATGATGAGAGACATCTTCACGAGCATAAAGATTTGGCGGACAATAAACATCTTCATGAGCATAAAGGATTGGATGATGAGAGACACCTTCATGAGCATAAAGGTTTGGATGATGAGAGACACCTTCATGAGCATAAAGATTTGGCGGACAATAAACATCTTCATGAGCATAAAGGATTGGATGATAAGAGACACCTTCATGAGCATAAAGGATTGGATGATGAGAGACACCTTCATGAGCATAAAGGATTGGATGATGAGAGACACCTTCATGAGCATAAAGGTTTGGATGATGAGAGACACCTTCATGAGCATAAAGATTTGACTGACAATAAACACCTTCATGAGCATAAAGGATTGGATGATGAAAGACACCTTCATGAGCATAAAGACTTGGCTGACAATAAACACCTTCATGAGCGTAAAGATTTGGATGATGAGAGACACCTTCATGAGAATAAAGGATTGGATGATGAGAGACACCTTCATGAGCATAAAGATTTGGCTGACAATAAACACCTTCATGAGCATAAAGATTTGGCTGACAATAAACACCTTCATGAGCATAAAGAATTGGCCGAATATGGAGACTATCATCATCACCATCATAGACATCTTCACGAGCATAAAGATTTGGAAGATGAAAGACACCTTCATGAGCATAGAGGTTTGGCGGACAATAAACACCTTCATGAGCATAAAGGTTTGGATG